AATCAGCCATAGGGTGCAGGGCAGGGAAGGGGATGTGCTAAGCCAAGCTGCTTGCTGTTGATCCCCTGTGCTGTGAGCCAGTTCCAGTCACTTTGGGATCTGGATCCAGTGCAAAAGCCATAGGTTGAGCACCACAGATCTAATCTGATATCTTGTGTAACACAGATCGTAGAATTTAATACAAGGACAGTGAGTCGTGGTTTGAAAACAAAGAGATGTTTCATTTTCAACAAGGAATACACTATTAATGAGCTGAGGTTTTACTCTGATGAATACAATGACCATTTTAATTCAACCCTTGTTTTATTACAATGACTTGCAAAACTGGCACAAATGTTGTCCTGTTTCTGCTATTATACCACATGAAATACAAACCAGGGGCTAGATTCAGACTGTTTTGATGGCTAGAGTTCCCACCTCAGAACTGAATCAATCACTCAGATCATTGTTCTCAACTTGCTGTGCTTTCTTTAGTCAGATGCTCACCTGGTGCTAGCAAATTAAACTCTACAGAAGCCTGTGCTGTTGCTTATATGTTGTCAGAATCCCTCCCCACCCCACATATACATACTTATGACCTAACCATATAGAAGAAAAAAATAAGCATTTGGGCTTTGTAGTAAGAAATGTGCTAAGTTGCACCACAAACATAAACAAGGATGCCTAGCTAGCTGTCCCAAAGACAAGAGTATGTAATGGCTTCAGAGCCCACTTTTCCTGAAACCACCAATTTAAGATTCAGCCCTTAAACCTGCCTCTACCAATCAAACACTTAAACTAGAGATCCTGGGTGATCTCAGTAATTCCCACTGACTTCAGTAGGAAGAGGGCTAGACCTGAATAAACAATTTTAGCAAGTAATTTATTCCCAGGAAAATACAGCTTGGGGGCAAGCACAACTACTGTATTTGCAAACTTGGGTCAAGTTGGTGACTAGTTTAGGCAAAATATATTTCTTACATGAAATGAGTACTTTTGTACAGATGAAATGACATTATGCTGATGAATGAAATTTTGTTAGTCTATAAGAGTGTGTTTAGATGAGTGCGGATGTGCAGTACCCTAAGCTGCTACTTTGCAGCACGAGGGCGTTTCTTGCCCCTGGGAGATCCCAGGGTCAAAAAATCCGCCCCCCCCCCCCAAAAAAAGTGGGATGGTGCATGGGGTGGTAGTGCATGCTGCCCAAAACCACAGCCTGGCCAGCCAGAGCCATGCTCCAGCAAGCCAGAGCCATGGCTTCAGCTGCTGGCCAGGCTTCCTGATGTGGCTGCAGCCCTGGGAGGCTCCCAGGACCCCAGGTAAGGTTGCTGGGGCCAGTAGTTGCTGGCCTCAGCCTCTCCTACCCCATCCAGGGTAACCTGGGAAACCCACATCTTGCAGTCCTTCATTGCAATGAATATTCAATTATATATATTTATTTACCTGTATATGTGCAGGGTGGAACAGCTTCACCAAAGGGGGAAGAGAGAAATCCCCCCTCTTAGAATAGCCAGTTATAACCTAGTGCATACCTGAGAGGTGTGAGACCCATATGTAAGCCTGTGCCATGGACCAGAAAGAGAAAGGATTTGAACCCAAGTCCCCCATATCCTAACTGAATACCCCAACATCTCTACTATAAGGTGGGGAGGGGGATACTGGTTGTGGCAGTGTCATCACCTTGTTTCTGCGAATATCACCTAAGTCCCCCTGGGAATCAAGCCTTTGTTTCCAAATTTCCTTTGCTTTTACGTAAAAAAGCCCCAAGTGAAACTGAAATACTTCATTTCCAAGTGAACAGGCCATTTCTGTTTGACCTAAACATTTTTTGCAATGCATACATGCGCACACGTATGCTCAGACACTGAACTCAAGGAGAAAATACCTATAAGCAGGACTGAGCAAATAACACTTTACTGCAAAGGGGGAGCTTTTGGTTCTAAGAATACCTCATATGATTCTCAGTATTTTTTCTGGAGATATAAAGCAGCAATACCTGAATTTTGGAACTAAAGACCATACACAGCAAGGTATCTCCATAACATAGTATATAAGTACTTCACAGGCAACAAGGGTAGAGACTTTGGGTCAAATTCTGCCTACGGATAAGCACCCACAAATGTCAGAGCTGTACTTAAATGCAGATTTAGACACCTTATAAATGGCCTGAGCTCCTGCAACTCTGCTAAGCACCTCTGAAAATCAACTGACCTATCTGAATGCCTAATACATGGCTGCAGGGGACTAATTTTAGACACCCACATTTGAAATTTTAGTCTGCGTGTGTTTGTTGCAGAGTCGGATTCATCCTGAGGTGAAGGAACTGATTTCCTAACCTAACTCTGACGGCACTGTAACCAAACGCCAAAAGCTTGCACTAAGACCTAAGAATTCTATTGACCTCAGCATGTAGCTCTTTCACAGGCTGTATACTCACCTGAGTCCCACTTAGGCCCTGTATCAGGGTCTCACATAATGGAAAGAGTCTCTACATCAGATAAATATCATTGCAAATGCCAGCAAAAATCTTATTTCTTCAGGCATTTATACCAGACTCCTCACTGCAGTCAGGGCCCAGATATCTATTCCAGCTTTATGATATAGAAGATTTAAAGTTCCAGAAAGTGTGTTAAATAAATCAAGTGGGATTCTTCCTCAAAGCCCCTGCAGCTTAGTGGAAGCTCTGTGCAGTGGACGTCCAGAATTGTGTCCCCTCTATTACATTTCTCTAGACTTACCAGAATGGTCAGTGTCTCCTACCAATACGTGAGAGAGAAAGGTGTTGATTTCACTTTTAAGGCAGGGAAAACTAGAACAACTAAAATGTAAGAGTCACCTTAATTTCAGCAAAGGGTTAACAGGGTGACCTGTTATCTTAGCAAGGTTTTTCAAACAACACATTAAGAACAAGTGTGAACCCTTTCCAAACAATGGACCAATAAATGAGACATTTTTAATCCCTCAGACTTATTCTATACTTTATGCACATCATTATAAAGCAAAATACCATGAGCTGAGTGATCCAGCATACTTCACATTACAGGTCTGTTGTTCTTCTAATACTGTAGACTCCATGTAATAATGGTAGCCACTTCAATTTTTTTTAAAAAGAGGGCTGATGGATATTTCCCTACACAAACCTTTAACTACAACAAATGCAACGTTGGGATCTTTGTGATGACTTTGAACTTACAGCACAGATTATTATACCTCAAAGGGATCACAACCAAGGCAGTCATGTCATACCGAGCTCTTAAGAGATTCATTTCAGTCCCAGGGAGTCATGTCATGGTGGTCAGAGGGAACCCATGTCAGTCATTCCTGGCAGGGAGGCTGGGAGAGCGGGTTACTCCAAAACAAGGAGGCTCCTCATAAGTCCCGTGTCACCTCTACAAGTGCAACTCACCCTACCCAACCCACTCTGTGGGTTGCAACCCAAAAGTGGGTCGAAGAACATATGAAAGGATCACAAACCAACTTTAAAAATGGATTCTCCTTTAAAGGAGAAAAACATGGGGAACTGTCCGTTGTAGGCTGGCAGAGTTACAGCCTGCAAGGGGCTTGCTGGGGGCTTCTTGGTCCCTGCATGGCCCCCACACACCCACCCTCTGCCCCACATGCTGGGAGGGTCTGGGGGCAGTGGGTCAGGAGTGAGGGGCACTGGGTCAAGACTGGCCATTGATTTTTACAAATGGGTCCTGGTACAAAAAAAGGTTGAGAACCACTGACCAAGAGTACTCGTCTGAGTGGCCAGCAGCCTTAGGGCTAGGAGGGTGTGTGCTCCTTCAGGGCCCTTTTGTGGAGTCCCCACAGCCCCCTCCTTCAGGGCAATGATGCCAACTCCAGAAAGCCAAAATTGCCCAGAGGAGCCTCAGAAAGGCGGCGGCTGTGGCTAGGAAGACCTCCCCGAGCCCTCAGGCGTGTCAGAGCCCAGTACGCCCAGAATGGCGGGGCACTGGGAACCCTATGAATGGGCAGGCGGACAGGAATGTGCGTACCTGCCCCTGCAGGCCGCTCTGAGGGGGCGCGCACAGGCACAGGGGGCAGGGGAGGAGGGCTGGTGGCTACCAGGGCAAGGCAGGGGCTTAGAGGCAGGCGAGGCAGTGCCCGGAGCCACCTGAGTCCGAGGGACCCACTGCTGCTCTGGAAGTCCCAGCTCCTCTGCAGGGCCCGAGCGCCGCCCTTCTCCCGCCCCCGCCTCTCCCCGGGGCGTCGCGGGCTTCCGCCGGGCAGACTGGGCCGCTGGAGGGGGGCGCCGCAGCACTCCGGGGCGGGGGGGAGGCAGCCCGCGCAGCCCCGGTCACGATGCAGGACTGCCTCGGAGTCTAACCGCGAGAGCAAGGCGGGGGCCGCCAGCATCGGGGCGGAACGGGGGGGAATCGCGGGCGGTGGGGGGAAGGGATGAATCCGTGCGGAAGCAAGGGAGCTCAGGCTAGGGGGCAGGCAGCTCCCGCCCCGCCAAACCTGTCCAGCACCTCGCTCCTGTGCGGGTTGCCGTGATTGATCATTGCTGCCTGCTATTGTCTGGGTGTTGCTGACTGTGGCCGAGTGCTGTTGTCTTGTCGCTGCTGTTACTGTCTGGGTGTTGCTGTCCGATTGCTACAGTTATTGTCTGATTGCTACTGTTTGTTACGGTTTGATTGGTACAGGAGGACTGCTACTGCTACTGTCCGATTGCTACTGTCTGCTATTGGCCGACTCTTTGCTGTCTGGTTGCTCCCCAGCTCAGACTCAGGCGCCCACGTGCGTCGGGAACCGTACGTGGCGAAGGGCTAGAAAGCCCCGGGCGTGCTGGCCCGCTTCCCGGAGCAGGGCTGCACTGTCCCTGCGGTGATTTCCTCAAAGCCCAGCCCCCTCCCCCGAGTCCCCCCCCCTCCGGCCCCGGGCCGTGCAGGCGGGGCGGGAGCGATTGAGTGAGCACAGGAGCCGCAGGCG